TAGAAACTGGTACTCTGCTGAACTGATGCATATTCTAAAAAGTTTTGTTCGGTGCAATTATAATAAAATCAGAAACCGACAACGTACTATTAAAATCACCAACATCACCAACCTCTAATGCAGCCGGTCTGATCCGGCAAAACTGATCAGGCGTAACCCTTCCATGATGGCCTGCCTCTCTCTTGGACCTTCCTACCATCCATTCATGGAGAACTATAAATAGCAGAAGGACATATTAACTGTTATGTCTTGTTTCAACTGATATGGGTTTCCCCCTGATTGCCCCCTATGTTGCAGCTCCAACTTTAGCTGGTTGTGCCCGAAACACAACATCGGGCACAGTGGTCTAGAGGAGGGATAAATATGTTTATTAAAGGCAGCCGCTACTGAACCTCCCTCGCACTCCAGTAAATTTTAAAATTTTTCTCCATAGAGCCCTTGGGGGCTTTAGGATAACGGAACTGGTGGTGCCCAAAACATAACGCCGGGCACAGTGTTCTAGAGGAGGATGGATAAATAGGCTACCAGAATAAACCAGACACTTGTGAGCGCCACCACCTTGATACTGGTATATTAATGGCAGCCACCACTGAACCTCCCTCGCACACCAGCAAAGAGTAGTATTTCACTCCACAGAGCCAATGGGGGCTTTCGGGTGAGGAAACTCCGTATGGGTAGACCGTTACATATCCAAGAGAAAGTCGACACAGGTAGCCCAATATCGATATAAGTCCTGAAAGTAACAATAGAGAAATGTTACTCAATAATACTTATCAGTCCCAATGTATTGGTCTCACAGAGAGTCAGGGCATGGTGATTTTATAATTGTATTAAATAAAGCTTTTTGTAATATGTATCGGTTGAGTGGAGTACCAGATTGTACAGGCTAGCACATCTCTTATATATCTTCCTTTTTCTTTTTTCCCCTTCCAGGGACATACCGAAGTGGTTGAATCCAAACCAAGTTTTTTATATAACTGAATAAATAATCCTGCATAGGTCAATGCCATCAGGAACATTGCTAAACTCACTGTCAAGACTGGGGGTAATGAATTAAAATTCAGGGAGATTCGGTTGCTAATAATTTTCTTCCAACTGAATCTTATGTTTGTGCTATGACTGTAGGATGTAGTCACTGTATATCTAACCAAATTGAGAAATGTACCATTTCTATAGCATTTTTTTTAAGGAAAAAAATGCCTTTAAAGCTAAATTAAAGTTGTAACTGAAAATTGTGCATTTCTCAGTTGTCAAAGAATGACTACATCCTATCTGAGTCATAGCACAAAAACGGGATTTGGTTGGAAGACATTTTTAGCAACCAGACCTTCCTGAATTCATTACCCTTGTTTTAGGTCCTGGACCACAAGTAAATGATGGCTGTGCAGTGTTTACATGTTGGATGCTGTAGGTCTTGATAACACGATGGTTGTCAGGTACCTACCGACGGCAGCTCTAGAGCTCCACAGACCGGATTTCCCCAGGGCGCGGAGTCTAAGCCCCAATCTGCTTGTTCACCAGAGCCCCTGATGGTAGGAATGGACTTGGAGCAGACTGAGACCCGGTCGCGGCCCCTGGGTACACCCAGCTGTGGTAGAGTGAGCCGCCAGTGGCACGTAGCAGGATGAGAGCCTGATGAGAAGAGGCAGAGCAGGCCGGGACCGCAACGGATGGATCCGTGCAGGATGGATGGACGGAACACGCTGGACAATAGCGGAGTCAGACAGGCCGGGTCGGTAACAGTGGAGGCAGAGCGGCGGTACAGAGCAGCAGGCAGAGAATCGTCGGGTCACAAGCCAGGTTCAGCAGCAGGAGATCAGATAATCAGGGACAGGCAGAAGAATGGTCAAACGAGCCAGGAGTCAGGGCAGGAGATGGTCAGCAATAATCAGGATCAGGCAGGGTTCGGCATCAACAAGATACTCTCACAGAACAGGATAAACAGGAACAAAACCATACGGCAATGTGAGCATTGCAAGAGCTTGTTTAAGTAGCCCGCCCGGCGCCGACAGGCGCGCCTGGGTCCTAGTGCCTGCCCGGCGCCGTCATTGGTGACAGGCGCACCTGGGTCCTAGTGCCCGCCTGCCTGTATGTCTTGTCGGGATCCTACGCATGTGCAGATTCGTGCGCCGCAGCGATCTTCTCGTTCCCTGACAATGGTACTGCAGGAGAATGGTTTTGCAGGACGTTGGCATTGCTAGTTGATGGTATTGCAGGAGGATGACATGGCTGGTTGTAAAATGCAATATACTCCATCTACAAGAGAACAAATTAAACAAGTTAGACATAAGAACAATTGCATTCATACAGAAAATAACAGAATATAATAATTGTTTTGCCCTCCCCATTTAATTAGAAATATGTTTTTTTACCCAGTATGTAACATGTATGGGGCACCCAGTCGACTATTTTACCATCAGCAGAATGTAAAAGCAGCATGAGCCTTAAAGACTAACCTCAGGCCTTCCCTTCAGGTGTACCCCCCCTCCCCTCCTGGCAACGGGATGACATCCCTTAACAAACATGGCCATGTCCCTCCTCCCCTAATTTCATAGTATGTTCTCAGAATTTGGATTAACACTGAATTCACGCATTAGCAGTGCGGGAGACCGCATGTGATTCAGACAGGAATTGAACCACGTGACTGATCAAATCACATGCTGTTCTTTGCACTGCAATTGGAGCCCATTCATTTTGTTTGGCTTAAAATCGCACCATACCTGCACGAAAAAAGGTGCAGGCAGCTTTTTTTTTTCCACACTGGAATCAGATCGCATGGGTGGTCACACTCATGCAATCCAATTTGGGCAATCACACTGCTTTTTACCCTGTTTTTTGGGGTGCCATTAACTGAACATTGACACCCGCAGCAGATCGATTTGGATGCAGTGCGGGAAATGCACAGGATTCACTGTGTTTCCTGCACCGCATATACTGTATGTGAATCTAGGCTTAAATGACACTGGGAATCATTCAACCCAGAAGAATGAACACATCTTTTTGGTGAAAAAGAAGTCCAGCATGGAAAGCACTGCTGGCCTTTAATTTTAATCTGTGGAGAAAGCCTTGTTAAAGAACCAACTGTCAACCGACTCAGCTAAGCAAATGGACTAGTATAGGTTCACTTTAATTGCTGGCATAGTATGTAAGGCTAGGTTCACACTGTGCGGGGTGGTTGTGGGTGTGAGAATCGCAGCTGTTCCTGCCCTCGTAACCACCGTGGCACCCCCACGCATCTCAACCTGCAGGATGTTTGCAGGTGAGGGAATCACAGAGAAATCCCTGCGGCCTCATTTTTACAATAGTGCCAGCACCTTTTTTTTGCAGAAAACGCAGCCATAGCAGCCCATTCAAATGAATGGTCTGCCGTGCCCACGCAAATGTGGTCCGCAAACGCGCTTAAGTGTTAACCTAGGGTTACAACTGGTAGTGTCAGGCTATATTCATTCAGTGCACTCAAGGCTTACCTGTTGTCTGGAGTTGAACCGTCCCTGAATATGATGGCAAATTTGGCAGCACAAAATTAGCTGAAGAATCGGGTGGACCTCTGTGAAAATTGGTATTGGTGTCTCATACCGAAGAGGATGTTTTCCTTCTCTTAATATCAGGGCGATATTCCCAATCTAAAGAAAGAGGCAAAATGTTATTATAGTGTATAAGACAGATGGAGAAAAAAACTGGTGTGGAAAAGCAGAGTCATCAATTATCAGTCAGACACAATAAGTACACCTTACAGATTGGATTTGCATTGCACTTTGTACAGATGAATTGGGATTTTCCAATACTCATGACTATCAGTTATCTTGGGTAACACCTACATCTGCAGATGTGAAGATCAATAGATTTGGGATTCTTGTACAATGCACATTGGAGGATGCGTGTAGGAAGTAAATTGCAGATTGGTACTAACTTGGCTCAATCTACAGCTATACTGGCTACATGTATGTACACATTTAAAGTAGACATAATTAGAAAACACTTTCTTTTCTGGTTTGTGTAGAATGAAGCAGGTTTGGATTACACATTGGGACCTCTCAGCTTGATAAAACTCGAATGTAGGTATTTTTTTCCACACTCCACATGACTGAACTCTGCTTTTCAGTTAAGCCTTTTGTGTCCCCTGTTGAAGAGACCTCTCCATATCTATCTAGAGGTTGCAGAGCACATAAAATCTTTATCTCAACAGTGAATTCCCAATATATATATATATATATATATATATATATATATATATATATATATATATATATATATATATATATATATATATAAAGAGAGAGAGAGAGGGTTTATTTAATGACACCAAAGGCTCAAGTAAAAAGCTAGCAGCAACTGTTAGGGCTCGTATACATGAGCTGTATCCTCTGAAGAGCAATCCATGGTGGATCCCTTTTCAGAGGAAGTTTTTAGGAGGATAAGAGGCATTTTGTTACTTCCCCACCACCTGTTGTAGCTCATAAAAATTGGCACCACCAGTATGTGTACAGCCGCTGCCTTTGCATCTTGGGGGGGGGGGGGGGGGGGGGGTGTGGGCAGTAAAAATGCAGCTCAGTTGTGTGCTTTTACTGACGCCAGCCACAGGTGTAAACATATCCTCATAGCTTTGCCATTGAAGGTGGGAGATCTCCCCACCTGGAACTGGTACATACCCCTGAGGTAAATAGACCCTGTCCTACTATAAAAGCAGTAACGTGTTTTAGGTAAGGGTTTGCTTTGAGATGCATTGTCTTCTTTGTTAGTTAATCAGAGAGGGAAATTTACAAATTGCATAGTGAACCATACAAATAACTGTACAAAAGTGTCAGCGTTGCACTATGCTATTATAAGCATGACGTATTCCATTTCAGCATTTGGATATGTAATATGTCATGCAGGGGCCAATCCATCAGATAAATGAATGGACTTTTCTGTACTAATAGTAAAAGTAAGTTTTAATCCATAGGAATATGAATCCTGTAATAAGGGGCTTAGGGCCCTGAGGACTGAGAATTGTGTCTGGACTACTTACTTGGATGTTCTTCAGAATGTTTTCTTTTAAGCCGCTTCGCCTCATCATAATAGGGCTGTTGCTGCTCCACCGTCAGTTTGTTCCACTCCTCTCCAAGCCTGCCACTTATGATGGAAAATGGGGTGCCAGGATGGGCTTGTTTCAGAACTGGACGGTGAATTCGGGACCAGATCATGTAGGCGTTCATTGGGCGTTTCACGCGTCCTTTCTTGTTCTTAGAGAAAGCCACATCAGATAGTCCTAGAAAAAAAGAAGAAGTGAGTTAAACCTGGGGCAGTCACAATTTTTCACACTGTGTTATGAAGGTAGGAATACCTAAAGTGTATCTAAAGCTAAAAATGAAAATGTGTATTTTGCAGTTTTCCAGTCCTTAGATGTCGTGACCGCCTTATTTCCTTTTTGCTGGCCTTGTTTCTTTTGTTTTTATCTTTTGATCAAGCCAATAACACACTTCCAGTCCTAGGAGTGACAACGCTCCTTCCTCTGTATATACAGAAGGAGTAGCATTGTCACCCTAGGCTGCTCTCCTATAGACTTCCCCTCTCCTTCTCATCTCCATTACGTAGGGAGGCATTTTATGCAGTTCACAGAAGATAGCTGGGAAGTCTCACACCATTGTTTGATATATCAGTGCAGAGGACATTACCAGGACACTGCAGTGCTGACCAGATTAGCAGATATTGAGGTAGATTTACTAAAACTGGTACACTCAGAATCTGGTGCAGCTGTGCGCGGTAGCCAATCAGCTTCTAGTTTTAGTTTGTCAATTAAGCTTTGGCAATAAAACCTGGAAGCTGATTGAATTCTATGCAGAGTTGCACCAGATTTTCCCTTTGCAGGTTTAGTAAATAACCCCCATTATTTTGCTGAAAAAAATGTACTCAGACTGAAAAGCAAAAACGAAGGCCCTTGTTTACACCTGTGCACTTTTGCCGCACTAAAATGCACCTTCCCAGCACATGAAAGATAGTTCGCTTTAAATCCTATCTAAGTGTTCACAGCTGGCCCTGTGTTTTTTGCAGTGGGTCACACTTTTGAAAAGTCCTGCTTGCAGCATTTTTAGTGCCCTCTTTGAAAAACACAGCAAAATCACACCTTCCACTGAAGTCTGTAATACCACACCAAAAATATACTGCGCTAATAAAAATGCCACGCTCAAAAATAAAGCGCACTAAAAATGCAAAATCATGCTGAATGAACTCAACGAACAAATGTGAACAGGCCCTAATGCCTCATTCACATCTAAGTACTGTCAAGATTAAAAAAAAAACAAAAAAACAAACATTTTGGGTTTTCCTATGTCACCTTTATTAATGTGACACTATTAATATTAGTATTATTAAATGGGAGATCTCAGCAACAAAACAGAAAAAAATCGATTTTTGTATTTCATTTCCTATCTAGCCTGGGCACAATGGGCTAGACTTTGGTCTTATATAGGCAGCCTGTCAGTTTTTAGGACGGGCCCTCCTTTCTCCTCTGTGGAGCGGTGGGTATAATGGTGAATGTAATAGTGAATCGGATCAGATGGCAGTCGGGTATAAACAGACAAAGCCATCTGTTTACATCCGACCGCCCATAGAGGAGGGCAGCTTGTGTCTGTGTCCACTGTGCATAAGCGTAGCGGACATGGACCAGCCATCCACCTGCTCTGCGGGGATCAGCAGACAGATCCCCTGCTGAGCAAGCGGACTCCTAGAGGAGACCGCCCCTTGTGGAAAGGGCTGTAAGTGGTGAATGATGGTAAATGGCAGTTGGAACTGGCTGGTCCTGGAGTTAGCCTGCATTTACCTAGGAAACTCTGCATGTCACTAATTTTAGAGCTAAAGACTGTAATAATAAATGCTGAAATTTACATACCTGCTTTTGATGGATGAATGCTCAGGGATGTGTGTTGGATATTTTTGCTATCTGATGTTATGTTGTGATGTCTGGCAGGAGGTGGCTCCAGCAATATGTTTGGTGTTAGATGATGGTTTGCTGGGCTCTGTGGAGGCCGGTTGTTGTTTTCCACATTGGCCATGTCCCTATCTCCTGCCACATCAGAGAAGAAGTTATCTATCCAACCCCTTATTTCATGGGTGGCTGGGACCTGCTCCTTTTCTGAGCTTGCTGTCTGGCTAGTTGACTCACAGCCATTCACAGGCTCAGAAATGATGTCCCAGACCCTGTCATTGTTCACAGGGTCAGACTGTGCAGCTGCAAAATATTGCTGGGCAGGTGGTAGCTCCAGCACTGTGTTTGCTGCTAGATGCTGGTTTGCTGGGCTGGGCTGTGGAGATTGATGGTTGATTTTGTCTCCTACCAGGCCAGCAATGAAGCTATCCATCCAATCAGATGATTCTTGGATGGTGGGACCCGCTGCTCCTCTGAATAATTCTCAGAGATGATACTCACTACCCAATCGTTGTTCAGCGGGTCAGATGCTGCAGATGGAAAAGAAGATTGGGTAGGAGGTAGCTCCAGCACGGTGTTTGTTGGGCTGGGCTGTGGAAAGGGATTGGTTTTGTCTTCCACCTTGGTGATGTTCTTATCTCTTTCCGAGTTAAAGAGAATGCTCTCATACCAATTAGTTGTTTCGTTATTGGCCTGAGCAACCTCAGATTCATGGTAGTTTATAAGCTCAGAAATCATGTCCCAGTCGCTGTCATGGTTGACTGGGTCAAATTCTGAGAAACCATGGAAATCAATTCCAACTTCAGACTACTCCATGGCCATGTCTAGTTGGTTATATAACACTGATGTTAATAGTGTATAAGGAATTTGGGGCTGTGAAATCTGGGCTACGGCCCCTAAAGCCTGGGGTTTCACCCCTCAAACAAGCCGCCACGTTCCCTCCTGAGATGTTAAATATTGAGGGAAATAGAGACAATCCCAAAAATATAGGCAAGGTATATCGAAATCTGAAACTGCGAAAAGGATCTTACGTACGCTCACGAGATGGCTCCTTGTGTGTCTACTCACCTCCACTCACACACAAGGACTGATCAGGCTGCTGCGGAAACCTGGACTTAAAAGAAACAGCCAGGTCACATGACCCTGCCAGGTCTTGGCCAACTGCCAAAAATTCAAAAATTTAACCCCTTATTGGCTGGACACGATTTTGCAACTGTACCTGTCGTCATAGCAACTTTGTTTATCCCGGTGGACTATACCTTGTTTTTTTAGGACAAAGTGGACTTTCTTTTGCTGGTAAATGGTCATTTATATTTCCTGATTTTTTTAATATTAAAGGAAAACTGGTCCAAAAAACTAAAAAGAAAATTTTTTTTTTTTTTTTAAATTAGCTTTTTTTAATTTACCACCAAAGAACAAACAAAAATAAATTCTCCTGATAATCGCAGCGATACCACATACTATAGGTGTATTTAAGTTGTTGTTTGTACCTGTAGTACAGGCCAAAACCAATGGTGTGAATTTTGTATTTTTTAAAATCCTACCTAAAACACACTGATACTCATTTTTTTTTCGTTATTTAATTCTACCCAAAATATATGCTGACCCTGACCTTTGACCCTTACTTTGACCATAACACCAACCCTGGCACTGACCCAGATCAAACCTTGATCTAGCAATTTTTTTCTTTATACTGTGATTTTTCTAAACACTTTTGTTTATTTACATCAGGGGTGGGCAACCCCTGCCACACTTGGGATGGCACGCAAGAGCAATCCTGGGAGACTGACCTCCCACACATGAAAGTCGGCCAGCGACTGCGGCTGTAGCTGCATACAGGGAAAAGCAATGAAGCTGGTTCACACCCACCTTTCCTCCCACCTACTTCCTTTCCCTCCGGAGTTGGTTCTGCCCATCCTGATCTGTGCAGTGAAGCAGTCGGACACTCCAGGTTCAGGCAGCACTCCTATTGTAATGGTAATTAGGCACTTTTTTCTCTCCTCCTCCATGGCAGCAGCAATCTTTCATCCTGAGCTGATGCCTGGAAAAGCTTTTCTGATCATTGTTCACCTGCTGTTTCTGAGCACTCCTATCCCTCAGCAGCCATGCACCTGGCTCAAACTATAGTAGCGTTTTGTACCTGGCTATATATGTACTGCTTTGTATCTGGCTATATATTTGTACTGCTTTGTACCAGGCTTTGTACGTAGTGTTCTGTACCTGGCTTTGTACGTAGTGTTCTGTACCTGGCTTTGTACGCAGTGTTCTGTACCTGGCTTTGTACGTAGTGTACTGCTTCTGTACCTGGCTTTGCACGTAGTGTTCTGTATCTGGCTTTGTACGTAGTGTTCTGTACCTGGCTTTGTACGTAGTTTGTACGTTGTTCTTACCTGGCTTTGCACGTAGTGTTCTGTACCTGGCTTTGTACGTAGTGTTTCTGTACCTGGCTTTGTACGTAGTGTTCTGTACCTGGCTTTGTACGTAGTGTTCTGTACCTGGCTTTGGCTTTGCACGTAGTGTTCTTTACCTGTACCTGGTTCTGTACTTTTGTACGTAGTGTTCTGTACCTGGCTTTGTACGTAGTGTTCTGTACCTGGCTTTGTACGTAGTGTTCTGTACCTGGCTTTGCACGTAGTGTTCTGTACCTGGCTTTGCACGTAGTGTTCTGTATCTGGCTTTGCACGTAGTGTTCTGTATCTGGCTTTGCACGTAGTGTTCTGTATCTGGCTTTGCACGTAGTGTTCTGTGCCTGGCTTTGCACGTAGTGTTCTGTACCTGGCTTTGCACGTAGTTTTCCGTACCTGGCTTTGTGCGTAGTGTTCTGTACCTGGCTTTGCACGTAGTGTTCTGTACCTGGCTTTGCACGTAGTTTTCCGTACCTGGCTTTGTGCGTAGTGTTCTGTACCTGGCTATATATTTAGTGCTTTGTACCTTGCTTTGTACATAATGTTCTGTACCTAGCTTTGTACATAGCTCTTTATAACTGCTTTTGTATGCAGCACTTTGTAGCTGGCTTTGCACGTAGTGTTCTGTACCTGGCTTTGTACTTAGTGTTCCGTACCTGGCTTTGTGCATAGCTCTTTATAACTGCTTTTGTACGTAGCACTTTATAGCTGGCTTTGTTCGTAGCATTCTGTACCTGGTTTTGTACATCGTTTTCTCTATCTTCCTTTGTACATAGCGCTTTTTCTTGGCTTTGTGCGTGGTGTTTTGTACCTGGCTTTGTAAGCAGCGTTCTATACCTAGCTTTGTACGAAATGTTCTGTACCTGTCTTTAAAAGTAGTGTTCTG